ATACATTCATACTTTATTTTTTTGTCTTCATTTTCCCTTTCTAGATTAATGTCTTCATTCTCTCTGGCTTTTGTGTGTGTGTGTGTGTGTGTGTGTGTGTGTGTGTGTGTGTGTGTGTTTTACATGAATCCACTTTTGTCTGTGTTTTTTTTCTTCTGGGTCATTTACATTGCTGTTTCATAAAATGGTTCTGCACTGTCCTAGGCGAGGTGCTTACATTAGATCGTTCCAATAGTGGGACATAGGCTTCTAAGTGAGCAAGGTGAGAATGTTTCATAGCCTTTGTCTGCTCCCTGGCTGCTATTCTGTGGTTGAAATAGAAAACACAGAAGACAGACTTTTCTTTTGGAGGTTCCTGGGATGGTTAGCTGCGCTGCCTGCCGAAGTGTAGTCTTGCTTGGGTCTTACTTGTAGAGTCATCACATCTGCTCTGAGTTATGCACTGTGGCAGATGTAACTGCTGAGCAACTCAGCCCTCTCTACAAAAATCTTCCCTTCTCAACATCTAGTTTTCTGTACTGTATTGCAAAGTTGTTTGTTAAAACTGCCTCCTAGTGATGAAATGAAATACTGTGTACAGCATCCTCTGAGAACTAGGTAAAACATTATATACTGTTACATTCATCAGTACTTCAGTCATGGTTATAATTAATTTCTTGTCCCCAGTTATCATTTATAAGCCAATCTCCTTTATATGGAATGCCATGTTTATGCTGAGTAGTTTGCATTATTAGTATCTACATTTCTGTGGGTGACAATTAACCCAGGAGCTTCAAGTGAGCCTGTGCAGTCACCAGTCCTTCCTTTGAGGGTGACCCCTAATGACAGTAGTAGTAGGGCTTTGCAGTTAACAAAGTGCTTTACCAGTGACATGTCATTTAGTCTTCGTAACCTTTTGAGATAGATGAGAAAGCTGAGGTTTAAGAGATGTCAAGAGATGTCTGAAGCTACATTCTATTTAGAGTTGGCTGAAATTTCTGGAGCCATCTGGTCCACTCTTCTTTCTGATACATGGAGAAATCCATTTTGGAGCAGAGAAGAACCTTTTTTGTGTCTTTAAATCTTTCTAAATATCGTTTAATTCTAGATCTCTTTCTCCTTGGAAGAGTAATCAACATATATGAATTAATTTTTTCTCCACTTTAATTTTCTTGATATGAACTTGCAGACCCAGAGCATTTTGCGAACTTTGAGAAGTGTCTTTCTTCCATGAATAGCTCGGAAGAGATTTGTCTTCTAACTACCTTTGCACAAATGGCTCAGGCCAGAAGAACCAACGTGGATGAAGATTTCATAAAAATTATTGTTCTGGAGATATATGAGGTTAGAATATGAAATTTTATAAGTCAGCAAAAAATGTTTTCTTCTAGGTTGTCTATCCATTGATATTTTGGAGATTGCTTTTAAAAAATATGACTTACTGAGGGCTGGGCATGTTGGAACATGTCTGTAATCCCAGCTGCTTGGGAGTTGGAGGTAGGAGGACTGCAGTCCAAGTCAGTCTAGGCATAAATGTGAGACCCTATCTGAAAAACATGCTAAAAATAAAAGGACTAGCGGCATGACTTAAGTGGTAGAGCACTTGTCTAGCAAGTGTGAGGCCCTAAATTCAATCTTCAGTACTGCCATAAACAGAAGAAAAAAAAAAAAAAAGGATGACTTATTGCTTATTGAGCTACTGCCTGCACTAATGGAAGGGGACAGAGAATCAGGAACATCATTTGTCTATAAGAGTATTGAAAACAGTTTTCCACTACTATCTCTTTAAAATTTGATGCATGGTCTTTGTTAAGAAATGGACAGTCAAGTATAGCCTGGCACTTACAATTTTTATGCTGTCTCTTTTTCTCACTTTTCTACTCTCTCCCTCAAAAGCTCTACTCCTTCATCCCTACCAGTAACATGGAAACTTGGCTTCCAGGTGTGTTAATACTTGTATGCATCTGGAATTACAGATTATCTTCATGGTCTGAAATAATTGGGGAGAGAGGTATTTTCACATATATTAAATTTTCAAATTCTATTGCTGAGATAGTATTTATGTTCTTGACTAGTGTTTCCAGTGTTTTGACCAAGAGTCACAGTAAAAACTATTATTCTGCATTACAGTCTGACCCTATGTGTGTGATTGAAGCAAAACTTAATCTTCCTGTGATGCATTCTTACTTTTTAAATTTTTTATTCTCTTTGTTATTTTTCTGTTCTGTTCCATTGTATTAAAAAAATCGCTGGTTAATGGATTGTAAACTACACTATGAAAGATATGGTCAAGAGGAGTTGGTTAACATTGATATTTTAGAAGCTCTTCTGGTTATGGATCTCATTTTGTAGGAGAGATTATATATTTCCAGGAAATACATTATGATTTTTTAAAATCATTTTAGTGATTTCTTTTAAGTTTATTAAAGTTTTGACACTAAAGAGAATATTTCATTGATAATGACAAACTTTGGAACATACCTTTTTTTTTTTTTCTTTTTAGCACTGAAACACTGCAGTTTGAACTCAGGGCCTCACTCTTGCTAGGCAGGCACTCTACTACTAAAGCCATTCCATCAGCTACCTTTTGTGTTTGAGATGGGATCTTGCTATGTTACATAGACTGGCCTTGAACTCCTCCTGGGCTCAAGCTATTTTTCTGCCTCAGCCTTCCAAGTAGCTGGGACTATAACCATGTACCACCATGCCTTACTGGGTTATACTTTTTTTTTTTTGGTGGTACTGGCATTTGAACTCAGAGCCTCATGTTTATTAGGCTGATCCTCTACCACTTCATCCATAACCCAGCCTTTTTTTGCTTTAATTATTTTTTAGATAGGGTTTTTGCCTAGGGCTAGTCTTGGCCACAATCCTCCTACCTATGCCTCCTGGGTAGCTGGGATAACAGATGCATGTCACCACCCATGGTTGTTGGGTTGAGGTGGGATCTCACTAACTTTTGGCCTGAGTTGGCCTCAAACCATGATATTCCTGATCTCTGCCTCTCTAGTAGTTGATATTACAGGTGTGGATCACTGTGCCCAGCTGGGATGTACTTTTTGATTCCAGCACTTGAATTCATGTTAAAACTACTTGTCATTTTCCTGCCTTCTCTTTCCACCCACCTTTTCTCCTCGAGACACATAGTTTGCTGTCTGAAGTTCTAACATCTTCTTGAACATTAACTGAGAGTCAATATGACATTCTTTTTGTTTTTCTTGGAAAAAATACAGAAATATGTTTAGATTGATAATTGGTATTAAAAAGTGCCATCTATTCTCTCCTACCCTCTGTTTAGGTGTCTTATGTTGCCTTGTCCACCAGAGAGACTTTTTCAAAGGTTGGTCGAGAGCTTTTGGGGGCTATCACAGCTGTTCACCCTGAGATAATTTCTGTCCTCTTGGATCGAGTTCAAGAAACCATTGACCAGGTTGGAATGGTAAGGGCACTGCTTGTTTGTTATTATCCTTGTCATGGATAATCCCACGACAAGCAACGACAAAAGTAGGAAGATTGTTGGGATTGACCTTGTTATGTAAGGGCACCATAGACTGAAAAGAACTAGTATTCACTGTTACTGTGTGCAAGGTTCTGGGCCATGCATCATGCCAGTTTGGGATTAGCTGTGTTTATAAGAAGCTGAGTGGTTCTCTCATATCTCAGACTTGGCTTTCCTACCTCCTTCAGTAATAGTTTTTTTCCTTAATTTTAGCTCATTGTTCATTAGTAATTTTTATTTCATTATTTTTGGCTTTCATAATTCTCGTATGAAACAACTGACTAAGAAAAAAGGCCTATTGAAATCAGTCAAATGCAAAATTAAAAGTAGTAATTTAAGCCGGGAGGCATGGCTCGGGTGATAGAACACCTACCTAGAAAGCATGAAGCCCTAAGTTCAAATCCCAGTACTGCCCAAACAAACAAACAAATAAGCAAAAACTCAACAGCCTAAAAGAAGTAATATAAGTTGAGCATGACACAGATGTAGTTTATTTGTCATTTGTTGCAATCAGTCCATTTTGCAATCTTCATATAGTTTTTAAAAACAGCTTTAGTGAGATATAATTTACATTCCATAGAATGTAAAGTATGTACATAGTGGTTTTTAGTGTACTCATAGATACATACAACTGTTTTCATAGTCAGTTTTAGAGCATTTTTATCACCTCACAAAGAAACCTCATTCACGTTAGCTATCATTCCCTACTGTTCTTTCTCAGCCCCAAGCAACCAGTGTCTGTTTTCTGTCTATACAGATCTGCCTGCTCTAGACATTTTGTATAAATGGGATCGTATGATATGTGCTTTCTTGTGACTGGTTTGTCATTTAGCATAGTGTCCTTACAGTATGTGTCAGAGTTTCCTTCCCTGTAAAGCCTTAGTAATTATATATTAGTGTATTTATATATCATGTTTTGTTTATACATTCATTTGTTGGTGGGCACTTGTGTTGCTTCCATATTTTGGCTATTATCACTAATGCTGCTATGAACATGGTTGTATAAATACCTCTCTTGAGATTTGCTTTCAGTTCTTTTGGGTATAATTTGGAAGTGGAATTTCTGTATCATATGGTAATTGTTTTTAATTTTTTAAGAACTGCCATTCTGTTTTCCATAGTGTCAATACAAGGTACTTTTTTAGAAAAAGATTGTATCCTAGAATTATATCTATGAATGATTATTTCAAAATAAGACCTTTATATGAAGTTTTATAGCAGCAAGTTTTTGGTTACTATCTAACCAAAGTAATTATCTAATAGAATAATTATCTAATTAGAGTAATTTTCTAATAGAATTAATCCTGGAGAAATGTTACTTTTTAGTTTTTATTTTTGAAACGGGGTCTTGCTATATAACCTAGGCTGCCTTGAACTTGTGACCCTTCTGCCTTAGTCTCCTGAATTCTGGGATCGCAAGCACACATCACCATGCCCAGCTCACTATGATCTTTACAGTTTGATTGAGTTCATGATGATTTTCTAGTTTTGGCGACACTTACTTTTTTTTGTGGTACTGGCCTTGCCCCTGCTAGGCAGGAGCTCACTTGAGCCATGCCTCTAGCCCTGCACTTATATTTTTAACTTGGTCACGGTATTTCTAGTACTGTGCCCAGAAATATGCTTAATGGTAATGTGAAAATTTGAACCATGATGTTTTTTAGAGTTCATCTATAAAAGGCTTCCAGCCTTGTTGTATACATGGGGTTCTGTTTTGCTCTGAGCTTGCTGAGGTTTTTGGAGGGAATTGTTCAAGCTCTCCATGTCTTCAGATGAATGTGATGGCTTTGACTTTGGGCTAACCTTGATTCAGTCTGAACTCCAGAGCGGGGAATGAGCTGAACATTGACACACTTGGATTGTGTTTGAAGGCAACGTTCTGTTCTAGAGACCCAGCACGAAAGGGCCCATTCTGTGTGGAGATTGCTCTTGGTGAGGATAGTTGTTGATAAAGGACCAAGCCTTTTGGGAGATCTCAGAGTGTAAAATTCAGAGGTGTGTTTGCAAACAACCTGCAAATTGATACCATGTTTTCTTTTTGGCCTATTTTATGATTTCAAAAATTGGCTCACTTCAGAGGATACATTCTACTTTCGTTAGTGGGATCCATATTTCTTTCCAGTAACCTCTTTAGGTACAATTAGTGATTTATTTGACTTTCAGTGAAAGCATCAATGTATTTTAAAATATTCTATGTAAATCCTTTTTTTATTGAAAGAATAATGAATAGCTGGATATAGTGGTACACTGCTATAATCCATGCTACTTGGGAGGTGGAGGCGGGAGGATCTGGAGTTTGAGGCTAGCACGAGCAAAGTTAGCAAGACCCTATCCCAAAAAAAAAAAAAAGGGCTGAGGCTAGCTATAGTAGGGGAAAGAGTTCAAAAGTTCACCATTGGAGCTGGGAATGTAGTTCAGTGGTAGAGCCTAGCGTGTGCAGAGTCTGAGTTTATGTCCAGCACTGAAAAAATTTACCAGTAAGGATAATGTTAGCTGTGAGTTTTTCATTGAATTCTATCTTATGCTGAGTTAGTTTCTATTTCTAGTTTGCTGTTTTTTTTTTTCTTCCATTATGAGTTTTCAAAAAACTTTGCATCCATTGAGATCATCTTAGTATTTTTCTCCTTCCAAGTTAATGTAGTGAATTACATTGTTTACCTGTCAAATTTCAAACTTTAGGTTTTCAAATGTTGAAACATCATTGGTTTAGGGAGTAAAAACCACTTAATCATGGCGTGTAATCCTTTTTAGGAATTGCTAGGTTCAATTGGATAATATTTTGGCATATGTTCACAAAGGATATTGATCTAATATAATTTTATTTTCTTATGTCTTTATTAAGTTTCGGTTTTAAGGGTTATATTATTCTTATGAGTTGAGAGGTTCCTTTCCGTGTTTTGAAAGAGGTTTTTTTTGGCAAAATTGTTATTAATTCTTTGTTGAATGGTAAAAATCCTCTGGGCCAGTTTTCTTTGTGGGAAGCCTTTTAATAACAACTTGAATTTCTTTAACAGATATAATCTTTATTAATCTTACTAAGATTGTATTTTTTTCTGGAGTCACTTTTGGTGACCTTTTTTTTTTTATTTTGGTCCTTATTTGGAGCAGTGCAGAAACCTGAAAATTGCTAGACTGTAGTTCCAGAACTGTATTGTCTGATACTACATTAAACATTAGGCACGTGTGACTCTAGAGCCCTTGAAATGTGGCTAGTTCAAATTAGAGCACACTTTAAGTGTAAATTATTCATTAAGTTTTGAAGACATAGTATGACCAAAAGAATTTTACTTTAATGGAATGTTTTCAAAATATGTAAAAGTAATGCAAATATATAATGAGCCATGTCCCCATCATCCTGATTCAACAGTCACCAACTCTTGATTGATTGTATTTCATCTGTAATCCTAAGCATTCCTTATACTCCTTCTCTCAGATTGCTTTGACCGAATAGAAATGTCTTTTTAAGTGCCATTATAGTCTTTGAGTGGTACTGGGATTTGAACTCAGGGCTTCGTTCTTGCTAGGCAAGTGCTCTATCACTTGAGCTGCACCCTCAGCCCTTAAGTGCCATTGAATAGAAGAAATAACTATTTAAAGTGCCATTTTTTTTGGGTAAAATGAATGACCTTCCCCTGACTTACCCTGGCTTTAAATTTGTGTCTTACTATGGTGGTTATCTAACCTGAAATATACCAATTTATATATTAAAAAAGCTGGCCTTTACAAAGGATTGTTAATTGGGCTGTTAGCATATCATCAGTTTAATACCCATTCGATTTGCTTCTCACTTATCTAAAAATCAAATTAAACTCTACTTCCTTTTCAAGACAATCTTGTAACTATGTAGTATGGTAGGATAGGTTTATCCAAGTAAGTCCTGATTTTAATTATTGCTGTTTTCTTTTTAATAAGGTTTCTTTATACTTGTTTAAAGAATTACCTTTGTATCTTTGGCAACCTTCTGCCTCCGAGATAGCTGTGATTCGGGATTGGTTATTGAATCATAACCTGACAGCGGTGAAGAATAAACTGGCCTGTGTTATTCTAGAAGGACTGAATTGGGGATTTGCTGAACAGGTACGTATTAAACTAGAAACTGGCAAGTCTCTGTGCTTCAATTTCAAGAGAGCATTTTCTTTTTATTTATTTATTTATTTATTTATGAGCATTTTCTTAAAACACTAACATTTCCAAGTATCATTTACAAGGTCTGCAACTTCTTTAGCTGTGTTGGAGTTTTAGATCTTTTCTTTACTTTTGTTTTGCATAGTGAGCATTCCTAAAGGAAGATACATTGTTCCACATTGAAAAGTCTTTTCTTTTTTCTTATCTGTTGCTTTATCTGACTAGTTACTACAGTTCCTCCTGAATGGCCTCTTCTGCCCCTGGTCCTTCTTTCTCCTGAAGTTTGTCTGGCATGTCATTGCCAGAGCTGATTTCTAAAATATTGTTCATTAATTCTGAGCCTTGAGCTCTGAGCCAGTCTGGCCTGAGTTCTGATCCCAGTTCTGCTACCTCCTGGCTGTGTGACCCTGAGCAAGCTTTCAGAAAACTCTGGGTCAGTTGCTTATCTGTAAATACTGATATTAATAGAACTACTTCATAAAGTTGTTGTAAGGATTTAGCAAGATAGTTATACATGGGCTGGCAGAGTGGCTCAAAGGGTAAGAGTACCTGCCTAGCAAGCGTGAGGCCCTAGGTTCAACACCCCCCCCCCCCAAAAAAAAAGATATGTAACATTTAGGACAGTTCCTGGCACATATTAATGACTCAGTGTTGTAGTTACTATTAACAGTTTATTATTAACTATTAACAGGGGTAATAGGAATTAACAGTAGTTAATAGTTATTAAGGGTTTGGTTCATATTATGTGTATCCAAAGATGCCACATTGAATGATTTTTGACTTAAAAAAAAACCTTTCCTGTGTCTTTATCATAGGTAGGCCTTACTATTCAGCTCCTTAATCAAAATATTAACACTTCTAAGTAAAAGTAGGGGAGAACATGACCATGTACAAGTGTCTTTCAGCTTTTGTTCTGAGAAGGTTAATCCTGGTGACTCTCTTGTGTGGGTTATGGTACCATCTCTTTGTAGAGATTCTAAGGTGGTATAGGGTGTTACATTCACAGACACCTCTTTGGGGTGGTGCCTCAAGTTCAGACTTGTTATAGTAATTGCTCTTTAGACTTCGGTTTTTTCCTGTGTGTTTAACTTTATTGTTAGGGGTATGGTTTTGGAACATTTAATATTTGTATCCAAGACCCTGTTTTATTATTTTGCCTATTCTTTTTTTTTTTTTTTTTTTTTTGGTACAAAGGAACATAAAAAAAGTTAAGGTGATATGTTGATGATTATTTTTCTCCTTAAAAGGGTGCCCTTCATCTGGATCAAGCAGTCCATGCTGAAGTGGCCTTAATGGTTCTTGAAGCTTATCAGAAGTACCTTGCACAAAAGCCATATGCTGGGCTTATTTCTGAAAGTATGAAGCAGGTATTTATTCCTCTTATTTTATTGAGAACATAGATCTTTATTTATAAATGGACTGGAAGGATAAAGTTACAGTATTGATCGTTAAGTTAGACAATAATTATAAATGCAAACTTATCCTGCTCCCTGCAGCTGCATTTGGCAATATCAGTACATAGGTACCTTCGAATGGATTATATGGATTTTGATGGAAAAAAAAAAGAAAAAGAAAAAGACAGAGTAGTTGTAGAAACCTCTATAGACTGAATGACACTTAAAATAGACACTGAGGTGATGTGTTTCCTCCCACTGCTGTACTTCTGGCTGACTTACTGCTCATCTTGCTGACATACTTACCCAGTCTCCTGAGTTCACGCTGTGGAAATTTTGTTTTAATACAATGATAACCAACCACAGATGCAAGTTGTGCATGTTGGAGTAGCTTCTAAGTGAAGAAAAATAGTTGATGCTGCATTGGAAGTTAGCAAGAATTCGTATCTCTGAAAATCTTTTATTTCTTTGACCTCATACCTGTCTTGTGTATTGTTATGTCTTTTATTAGGGGTGGTATTTATTTATTTAAAAATTTTTAAATTTTTATATTATTCTATTGTGATATTTACAAAAGTGCTTAAAATGCATCTTAGTTAAATTCACCCTTGTACCATTCTTTATCCCCTCTCCCCCATTCTTAGAATAGTTTCAACAGTTCTCATTGTTCCATTTTTATACATGAATACATAATATTTCTACTACATTGATCCTCATACACCTTTCATTATATCCTCCTACCTCCCACTGGTACCAATCTCCAGACAGGACCTGATTTACGTTCCTGTGATCCTTAGGTTTTCTAAATACATTTCTGGCAATGTAAAATGTTAAAATTGACTTCTGTAGTTGGATAATGATTATCTTAAAAAGTAGTCTTTTTAAGACTGTTAGTGTTACAGAATTTGAGTTGAGCTCTAGTGATATGTTGGAGCTTACTTGTATTGGCTCAGAAGAACTGACTGTTAAGTGTTTTAGAAACTTTGCAAGCCAGGTTGTTCAACTATTCATAGCTTGATATTGGTTGTGGTAGGAGTTTTTATATCTCACGAATTGGCAAACGCTAAAATGAGAACTCTTACCCTGATTGTTGAACTTATTTACCAGCACACTCTTCCTTGAGTATAACTTATAAATCACTTTTCTTTTGCTTGAGCTAAGATTAGATTCACAAAGCAAGTAAGTGGAAGTAGTTAGTTGTGAGAAAACAATTGCTTTAATGCAGTGCAACAAACATTAATTGAAGGACAGTAAATAGTGTGTTATTCTTTTTCCATGGCATTATGATCATAAAAAGAAATGAGTAGATGGTGTTGCTGATTGAATTTGTGTGTGACTAATGTGTTTTAAAATGAATAATTGTTTTAGGTTTCATATTTGGCCAGTATTGTTCGATATGGAGAGACTCCTGAGACTTCATTTAACCAATGGGCTTGGAACTTGATCTTGAGGTTAAAACTGCACAGAAATGATTGTGGAATACAGCAGAATTGTCCAGCTGCCCCCTTCTCCAGAACGGTGCCTGACATGACGGAATCACCGATGTTTCATCCTCTGTTGAAGGCTGTGAAGGCAGGCATGCCTATTGGTTGTTACCTGGCCTTATCTATGACGGTTGTGGGCCACAGGTACAGTATTTGGGCTGAACCTCCAAGGTGGTGATCCTTGTAGATAGGAGTTTTAGAATCTCATTTTTCACATTCCAAGGCCTGAGCCCTTCATTAAACCTATGGCAGGGGTTGGGGGGCAGTAATTAGGACAAATAATAGGTCTTTAATAGTTTATCAAGGGGAAAGTGCTGCCCAGATTCACTCATTTGCCAAACAAATACATATATTTTTTGATAAATCCATAGAGCTTCCTTGTAAAAGGTAGGGATTTTGTCTTGTTCACCTTTGTGTCTCCAGAACCTATACCTAGTAGTTACTCAACAAATGCTGATAGATTAAGTGAATGTGAGAAAGAGCATCTGGTGTCTTAAGTGGGGAGGGTGAGAGGGTGAGATGAAGAGAAATGAGGAAATATCCAGACTGAAGCCCAGGATTCCTTTTGTAGGACTGAGGTGATTAGGTGGTTGGTAGGGCTGAGTTACGGACAAATTTTAAAGCTAGGTAAGAGAGAGTAGAATTGATCTAGAAAAGGAGAGATGGTTATTTAGGCCCTTAGGAAGGTACTCATTACATCATTCCCAGGAGTTTCCTGAATCTTGGTTCCTCAGCTCTAAAGTGGAAATAATATCAAACTTACTTTATGAGACTTAAGTGAGTTAAAGTACACATAAAATACTTAGAACAGTGTCTGGCATATGGGTTCTTTGAGAATAGTTTTCTGAACTTGTTTCATGATGTCCGTAATTGCTCATATCCATTCTGGAACTGTAGCCCTATTCACTGCTAGGAGTTCTCGCGAGCGTACGTTTTTGTTTAGTGCTGATTACTGAATGCTGAATGGGAGTGAGGGTGAGAATAAAATGTTTCCCTTTAGGGCTGGCTCCACCGTGGTCATCTGGGATGTAAATGTTCTAGGGTACAAAAGTAAAGTTTAGACATTCTTACAGATGGGCTTGCTGTGAGTGGGGTAGGCAGGGACATAAGTTGTACACAAATACAACATTATGGACACAGTACAGATGATGATAGTCAGAAAAATCATCCACAGTCTTTCTTATGTTAATATATTCAGTGTTTTTGTTTGTTTATTTTTGTCTGATATTTTTTCCTTTGATTTTTTTTTTACAGCAGTGATGGAGATATAATTTTATGTTCTTTATTGTTCACTTCTAATATTCTAAGTACTTCCCTCATGGCATAGCCTTTGCACTATTAGTTTTATTTTCTGAAACGGTTCTTTTCTCCTAAAGTTAAAGCCTATAACCAAACTATAGGAATAGGAAAGTGGAGAAAAAGCCATTTACTTCTGCCACTCCAATACAATGAACATTATGGTGTAAAACCATTCCTGTGTTTTTCCCTCTTAATCTAACTTTTCTTTTTTTGCTAGTAAAGTGGGAGAGTTTTTTGAAATAGAAAAGTGTAAAGTAGGATAGTAGAGCCCCCAGAATTGAGGGGGGTCCCCTTGAGAGGGTGCCCCTAACTTTTCTTTACTAGTAGTTATTATCACACGTATAAAATTTAATGTTCTTTCTCCCAGTATCTGTATTAGTTTATTTTTGCATAGTTGTGATCAAATTACCTGAGAGAGCAGCTTAAAGGAGGACAGATTTATGTTGCTTACAGTTTCAGAAGGTTCTATTCATGGTTGCTTGGCCTACACGCTTGAGTAGAACATCGTCGTGGTGGAGCATGTGGCAGGGGGAGGTTCTTCATCTCACTCATAGTGGATAGGAAGCAGAGAATAAGGGAGGAACTGGGAAGGTATAACCTTTAAAAGCCCTCCCCCAGTCCCCTACTTAGTTCAACTATGCCCTACCTCCTAAAGTTTCCAGACCATTCAAAATAGTGCTACCTGCTGGGGACCAAGTGTTCAGCACATGAGTCTGTGGGGGACATTTGTATTAAAACTGTAACAGTATCTTTATATAGAAGTAGTGTTTTTCCATGTTGCTCTTGGCTGTTATGTGTTGTATTATTTTTAAATGATGCAGTAAGATTCCCATTGAATAGATTGTCCTTAGATCTTGCTTACGTCATCTCTTCATTTGAGTTTTTTTTGTTGTTTTTGGTATGGGGATTTGAGCTCAGGGCTTAAAACTTGTCAGGCAGGTGCTCTACCACTTGAGCGACTTTGCCAGCCCTGTTTTGTGCTGGGTATTTTTGAGACAGGGTCTCACAAACTATTTACCTGGGCTGGCTTTGAACTGTGATTCGCCTCATCTCTGTCTCCCAAGTAACTAGAATTATAGGTATAAGGCACCTGTGCCTGGCCTTCATTTGAGTTTTGCAGTTATTAGTAAATGTGAAAAGTGCCATTGTTATATGATCATCTTCTGTATTTTCCCCTATATTTGAAATGATTTCATAAGGATAGATTCTCTGAAGTGAATCAAAGAGAAAGAAAACTTCAGAAGAATTTTGCCAGTTTATACTGGCAGATTGAACTCACCTATGAATTTTTCCTTTACTGTAGTAACTTCTGAGAATTCCCAGGCAAGGAGAAACCCCTACAGCTTTCAGGAGCCCCTCTGGCTTCTGAGAAACAGTACAGGCTAGTGATGAACACTCTGAACTAGAAATTTACAAACTGGGATTCTCATTTTGACCCTAGGAAATTCTTTTTCATCTGTAAAATGAAAATATGGATGAGTTTTTAAGTCCCTTTGTACTTTTAGTGTTCTGAATCTAGTATTTCTGTGTGAAAATTGGCACAAAAAATGTGTTGGAGACCTGAGATAATCCAGATACTGGTTGGTAGCTCTTTTGAAGAATATAATTTTATGAATGAGCTCCTCTGTATGCTCATTGCCTTTTCTTTTCCCACAGCATTGTGAAGTTCTGTGAAGAAGGCATCTCACTGATGGGAATTCTGGTTCAGTCGAGGCATTTAAGAACGGTGGTCCATGTCCTGGATAAGATTCTACCTTTGTTTTACCCCTGCCAGTATTACCTTCTGAAGAATGAGCAGTAAGTATGCTCTGTCTATGGCAGGAGACATTCTTTAGAAACAGCCCAGCAAGTGCAAATGACTATGTCTTCCGGTTTCTGAAATAAAGGTAGTAGTAGTTCAACAGTGTATTTTTGTGAGGTAGAAAACTTCTGTACCTACCTTAGAAAGCAGGTTGATGAGCAATGATTTGATTAACAATCTAGTTTTGTATTCATAGAATATATTTCCCTTTTCATTTAACTTGGATTGCTTAGTAAAGTTTGTTAGTATTTGAAAGAGCAGTTGTTTCTATGAAACTGGAAGTAGTGGTCCTGATACTGAGCTGCAAATGACTTTGCCATTGTAACAACAGCAAAACACATTGTTTTTATTGCCTGTGGTGATCATAGTGCAGTGTTGTGAACAAGTAAGATTCACAGGAAGGGGAAGAGGACCACCTGTTGAAAGATCAGTGAGTTGAACACCTGCCTGGGGCCTCATGAAGAGTGATGAAAGGGGAGGCGAGACCCAATGTGGAGGAGTCCTGTCGGGGGAGAATCAATACATCCAAGGGCTCAATGGGAACATTAGTTTCCTTGCTGTGTGTCTTTTCATTCAGTGCATCTCAGACTTGCCTCATGTTGAGAGTCACATGAGGATGCTTACTAAATATGGATTTCCAAACTCCTTCCCTGAACATTTGACCTTACTAAGAATGGAATGGGCCTGGGAACCCCTCTTTTAAAAAATTTCTAAAAATCAACACCTTGAGCACTAGGAAAGTTTGGGAAGTGAATAATTTGGAAAATATCACTGCTTTTTATTAGCAGAGGTGGAAAGCATGGAGGGATAATGGTACTTGGAGGTGTTTTCCTCTAAGCTGTTCAACTTGCATGTGTTTGTGTGTCCTTGGATCTTTTCATTACATTTCTGCAGGCAGGTAGGAATTCTTTGAATCCACATTAAATATGAAAATTTTACTGTTCTGAAATTCTGTAAGATTTATCAGAATCCCTAAATAGCACGTTGGCCTAAAAGTGAAATCAACTTAACATTTTTCTGTTTCCTCATAAGTAAGTGACTAGTTGAAGTTCTGCCAACTCCTGATTGAAAGGTAAGGTATATGATCTGTGTGCTCGGCAGGTTTTTGTCGAATCTTCTTCTCTTTCTACACTTGGACAGTGGTGTACCTCAAGGTGTCACACAGCAGGTCACCCACAAGGTGGCGCAGCACCTGACAGGAGCCAGCCATGGGGACAATATGAAACTTCTCAACAGCATGATCCAGGTCAGGGCCCTCACAAGCCCCTAATTTCACTGTGGCCTGTTTTCCCAACTCAACCCCTCTGGTGTGGGCATATTTATGCTGTGGGTGTTTTGAATCACTTGCTACAGTGCTTTTGGCCAAGAAAACCAACAGATTCAGGCTTTAGTGGAGGCAAATAGCATTTTACTGGTGTTTTGACAATGGGAGGCTGGTTGTTACTTGTCACATAACCTTAGCTGCTTCTCCATAGGCGCACATATCTGTAAGCACTCAGCCTAATGAAGTGGGTCCTGTGGCTGTGCTGGAGTTCTGGGTTCAGGCTCTTATAAGCCAGCATCTCTGGTACCGAGAACAGCCCATTCTCTTCCTCATGGATCATTTGTGTAAAACGGCTTTTCAGCTGATGCAAGAAGACTGTGTACAGAAATTACTTTACCAACAACACAAGGTAACCTGTTAGAGAATTTATGTTTTTACTTTATATCATTGGTTAAATAGTAACTTTCTATAAGGTTCTCCTAAAGGCATGATGGTTCTTAGTATTACTTTGTGGCCACTACTTTTTTTTTTAAAGCTTTGCCTTAATGGTGTCTTACCTCAGTAATCATAGTCCAATAGTACACATCCTAGGGAAGTCAAAGGAATGGACAGCCATGAAGGGCCCTGCTCATTACATTCTCCTATAGTTCTATGCCTGGGATTATTGGTGCTGGTGGTCTCATTCTTGAAATCTGTCTCTTAATGGAATCTTCTAACGTGAGATAATTGCTAAAGAGCAATGAAAAGGTTTTGTTTTTTAAAAAAGCTTCCTTTCTCTGTTCCACCTCTTCTCCCTGATGTAGAATGCGTTAGGTTACCACTGTGACCGGAGCCTGTTGTCTTCCCTGGTGAGCTGGATTGTGGCAGGCAACATTACCCCTTCCTTCGTGGAGGGCTTGGCCACGCCCACTCAGGTACGAAGCCCACTGAGGACCCTATGTGTCTTTGTGAACTTCAATATTGTTCCCATCCTTACTAATAAATTAACAACCTAAACTAAGTCACATTTATTTAGCATGTACTGTTTGTAAGTATACTTTTTCACTTTATCTTCTCAATAGCCCTCTGCTGAGTTGCTGTCACCATTCCTGTTTTACAGAGGTGTTAACCACGGTTATGTCATGGCCTGAATGCAGAGAGGTTAAGAGTTGGTGCTAGAGCCAGACAGCCCACGTTTCAGTCTTGGTTCTGTGATCTGTTAGTTCTGTGCCTTGGGCAGCTGGCTTATCTCTCTGTTCTCTGTTTCTTCAGTTGCCTATATTACAGAATTCAGAACAGTACTTAACACATACACTCACTAAGGATTGGCCATTGCTGTTATTGTCATCAGCAGCATTATTTTCATCATTACTACTTTTTACTCTGTGTGTAAAACCACATCTCTGTTTTATTACTTACATCAGTGATAACACCCTTCACTGTGTCATTTGTACTTCCTGGTCTCCTCATAGTGCTTATGACTGAGCTGAAACCAGCTCCTTGCTGTTACCTAGATTCACCGCTTCCTCTCCATCTCTGTGCATTTGTCTCACTGCATGTTAGAGGCACACCTTTCCTGCCCATTTCTACACAGCATTATTTGATGCGGCACTCTACTCCTGATGCAGTACTCACCACTGCTCCCTTCACTTCTGTGTGTGTGTTGTTTTGGTTTGGTTTTTTGAGATAGGGTCTTGCTATGCAGTCCAGCTGACCTTGAATTTGTGATTCTTCTGCCCTTGCTTCCCCAGTGTTAGGATTAAGTTGTTCACCACCATGCCTGGTTATTTATGTATTAGTCTCATCTGCTCAAATAGAGAGAAAACTTCATTAGGACAGAACCATGTCTGGCACCTTCGCTGTCCCTTATGTATACAGAGCTTCCCAGCAAATATTGTTGGGTGAATGAGCATCCTTGTACTACAGAATCCTTTCCAAAGAAATGTAATATTTTCCACTTATTGTATTTTGTACAATCTTATATATGTGACAAGAATGTAGATAGGTATTAAATATGCATTAATTGTAGAATCTATTCATTGACTGAGATGGATCATAGAAAAGATTTTTTATTTTTGCTACGGATTGAACTCAGGGGCTTATACATGCTAGTCAAGTACTCTTATCACTGAGCTACATCGCCACTTCTATAAAAGATTTTTATTTGTGAACTGTCAGGATGTATTTTATCAGAGTTAGTGGTTCATTTCTCTTCCCTTTCTCTGGTGTCATTGTAGGTCTGGTTTGCCTGGACCGTCCTGAACATGGAATCCATCTTTGAAGAAGACTCCCAGCTCCGAAGAGTTGTTGAAGGGGAATTGGTTATAAACCCTGCTTTTACCCCTGAGCAGGCTCTGAAGGTACGACAGTAGTTCTGCATTCAAGTGGTAGGAGGTGGTTTACACTTCAATTCAGAGGGATTCACTGTAGCCTGTGAACTTCTGTGTTTTCTGTTGTGAACGTTTGGAATGCACAGCCACTAAGCCCCTTGCACAATTAAAATGTGTACTTGGCTTCCCAGAGCTCATTTAACAACTAGTGTTACAGCCCACTAATTGAGCGGTGTGTTCATTGCCTAATGAAGAGGTTCCTGTAGTTTTGAAGCAGTTGCCCTTGTGTTCCAAATGCATTCAAATCCCCTTAAGAACTTGTTAATAAATCAAATACCTGACCCTGGCTTCTGTGATTCTGAGTCTCTGAGTCTGAATTGGGACCAGGAATTTGTTTTTAAAAACTCCCAAGCTAATTCTTAGGCTCAATAAGTTATGTAAAAAAGATTAAAATAAGGTTTTAGATTTAAAGATCCTGGATTTTAGGAGCTGGGGTCTCACAACCTGTCAAGGAATTCATCATTCTTAGAAGTCCTTTTAAAACCTAAATGTTCAAAAGATTGACTGTTAAATTTGCTTTTGGTTTTTACTATTCTACTGCCTTACAGCATTTCACATGCAAATGAATTTCAGAAATGAAAATGAGGTTAGACTAGGTGACTCTTAAGACTCATTTTGATTCTGGGGTTTATGAACTGTCTTGACAGCAAAAAGCTGCTCTGCATGTCTTGCTGCCAAGGAGTGGGTCAGAGAAGTGAGTTTTATATGACTTTTTTTTCCCTTTTTGAATTTAAAACAAAATGTTTAGTGTTTCATTTGAGTTACTTAGAGCAAACTGTTTGGGGATTGTGTTCATTTCTTGCTTACTAAAGCTCCTCCTCTCTTGTAGAAAGCTCAGGCCCAGCTGAAGCTCCCCATCGTCCCATCCCTGCAGAGGCTACTGATTTATCGCTGGGCCCATCAAGCTCTGGTCACACCTTCTGATCACCCCCTTCTGCCACTCATTTGGCAGAAGTTCTTCCTCCTTTACCTTCACCGCCCGGGACCTCAATATGGGTACGGTACCCAGTATTGTAGTAAGTTCCTGTGAACCCATTTCTGAGTGTGTTCTGAGGCTTTTGAGTATGAGTTAGTCATTCACTGGTGACCTCTAGCTGTGACTCTCCCTCTCTGTTAAGCATGTATTAGACTAGATGTTTTTTTGAGTTCAGAGTATCTTATAGCAACTTCTCTTATCTCTTCTCTCCCCAATGTGGTGGAGGACAACATCCAGGAACTGAGCAAGGTTTAGCATTTAGCCTCTGGAGTTACAAAGGGAAAGAAACTGTTCCAAACTGAGGCTGCATGTGTGACCATCATGGGGCTTGTGCCAGGGGTCCTTGTGGTGAGTAGTGCAGGTGTGAGCAAAGGCCAGGCTTGTCTGACAGCCTTTGGCTTGTGCTTGGGGATAACGAACAGTTCCACTGGATAGGAAGGTGTTCTAACCAGCTGGAACTGTCCACTGTTACTGACCATTGCTTTCTAGATCCCACCTGAATTCCCAGCTCTGCCTCACTCACTACTTTGAACATAAAGATGCTGATTCCTTGTCACTTCTCTTTTCTACTTGACAGCAAGTTCTTCAAGAGCAGAGACCATCTTTAATACATTCTCTTCCTCGAAGTAGTGATAATGCCTTAACTTTATGTAGCATTTCATTCTTTTTAAAACTGCTTTCATGTAGTAGTCCCTGCTTTACTCTGGGGGATTCATCTCAAGACCTCTAGTTAATGTTTGAAGCTGTAGATAGTATCAAACTCTAGACACACTATGTTTTTCCTATAGACACATACCTATGATAAAGTTTAATTTGTAAATTAGGCCCAAGAAGAGATTAACAACAGTAATGCAGTAAACAATTATAACTGTATACTCTAATAAAAGTTGTTTAAAATGCATGTGTTGCTTATTTCTAGAATTTTCCATTTTATACTTTTGGACCATGGTTGGGTAATTGGAACCATAGAAAGTGAAACCATGGATGAGGGGCGAGTATTGCATGCACCATCTCATTGGATCCTCAAAGTAACCTTTGAGGTAGAAATAATAGATACTAATTTAACGGTGTATGTAGCCAGCCATTGACTGCTGTTTTGTGCCACATAGACAGGGCATCTTGTGTGAAAAGTTACAGATCTGTGCATATATTTTTTAAGGTTACCTATAGATGGTTGCATTGGAAGAAGATTTTTTCAAAGTCCTGCTCATATCAATTTGTTGAAAGACATGAAGAGGCGTCTTACTGAGGTGGCTGATTTCTACCACGCTGCGAGCAAGGCCCTCCGTGTTCCAGCAGAGGGCAGCGAAGGGCCATCAGAGAGCCAGGCTGGCACCCCTGGTTACCTGACATCACCAGAACTGCACACAGAACTCGTGAGGTGAGATGGGTGTTTCTCATTTGTGCTGTTGGTACAGACTGTTGGTACAGCTGTGGTACAGACTCCTGATGTTACTCTTTTACCCTCAGTGTAGAAGGTGGCTTTGACATAGATTTACATTTTTAGATGTTTCTTATTTATGTTTCTCAAGAGAAGGGAATCAGCTCTTTGGATGTAGCTCTGTCAAGCGTTTGCAGTCTGAGTGATAACCAGAGAGCTGTACATAGAAATAAGCCAAAACAGATTGGTCACAGCAGACACACAACTGCTAGAGCCTGCTGGAATAGCTTTTTGAAAGAAATAAATGCCAGGCACTGGTGGCTCACACCCATAATCCTAGCTACAAGGACAGATATCAGGAGGATCGAGGTTCAAGGCCAGCCCTAGTAAATAGTTCACAAGACCCTGTCTTGAAAATAGCCAGTACAAAACAGGGCTAGCAGAATGGCTTAAGCAGTAGAGTGCCTGCTTAGCAAGTATGAGGCCTTGAGTTCAAACCCCAGTACCGCCAAAAAAGAAAGAAATGATCAAGGCAGAACTCTTTAGGTTCATAGGCTTCCAGCAGGATTCAGGGATCCACTTGGGGTAGGGGTCAAGAAACCTTCCAACACTGCCTATAAAATCAGTCCCAAAAGGCCAGGAAATCTGAAGTGTGGGATCTTTTCATGATATTCCTTTACCTTTCACTTAAAAGTTTAATTTAAACCAAATATTTGTCTTACAAATAAGACTTAATAAAAGTGGCTGATAATAATTAACCTTATTACAGAATAGCTTGGCACTGAAGCCTCAGGCTTGCTTTAGTACTTAGCTCCTGAGGAGTCTCTCTCAGCCTCCAGAATGATTTTTTTCTTTTATCTTGCTTGGTTGGAGGAAAACTTACTTTCACCAGGCTTAGCCAGTGGAAGGATTTCTCTTTCACCATTGTAGATTAGCCACAACTGTCTTTAATATTCCCTCTGCCTCTCTTAAATCCCCTTCTAGTAGTGTTCAGAAAGTAGCCACCTCTCTCACTGTCAGAAGCTGGAAGAGAGAACAGCATACTTACCATTCATACCAGGCTCTTACCTTTAAGAGCCTCATGGCCCTTTTGTGTCTCTTCCTAGACACACTGTACAGGTGAAGAAGGTAATTTTCCATTTTGTTGAGTAAGACCTCCATGCTACCTCCTGGTCACCCACCAAGTCATTTGAATATGCCAACTACCTCTCTAAGTGCTGTTTGCTGCAAACAGTGATCTTAGTTAGAATGGACTGTGTTCCTTGTAAAAAAACACAAAAGCTAAAGGAAACATTTTATTTAAAGTTTTTATTGGAAAATTGAGACCTTTTATGGGTGTTACTGTATTTCTAGCTTAGTTTTATTTTTTCATGGAGATAGGGTGTATACATACAGAGTTTTATTTATGGTTTTTTGAGGCAGATGACCCTTGACCCTAATGCAGAAGTTTAAAGTAGCTTTTAATATTTATTTATTTGCCCAGGAAAGCAAAGCTCCAAATGCAGATCGTAGGGCTGTGGTATAATTACCTTCTCCAGTTATTTTTCTGTGTACTGTATTTATTTCTGTGTACTATCAGAGCCTCTTCTGTAGATTCTTTTTGGTAGCAATTAGTGAATCATATTTTAATGATCCATGAGGTCTTCCCTGCTGAATGGTGACTTTCTTGGGAGATGTAGTGGTTGCTGGACACATTTTCTAGATTGTGGGGTTGCTTTACCAGTTCCTAGCAATGTAAGAAACTTCATTTGCCTGCACATCTTTTTATATTTTATATAACTATATTTTTATCTTTTAGGCTCTTCAATGTGTATATATTGTGGCTTGAAGATGAAAATTTTCAAAAAGGAGATACCTATATCCCTTCTCTACCAAAGCATTATGATATTCACAGACTAGCAAAAGTGATGCAGAATCAGCAGGTAAAGCTATGACAATACTTTTTTAGCATTTATAAATGTAATTTTGAACTAGTCATACTTATAATTCAATGGTAAAATCACTTACTGATATGGAAATGGGTGGTCACACAAATGGTCATGATATCTCTAGCTCCACTGTTTCCTCACCTAAAAGCCTGAAGCTTGTTCTAGGGCTTTCAGCAACCTCATGAATGTGATCTTTTTCTCACTGGTGTTCTTTCTTATTTTGAATTGTTAGCAACTGAACACTTTGAAGCAATCATCTCTATCATAAAAAGCACAGGGAAAGAATTGTAAGGATCCATACCTGATACAGGAGGACTGTTGCAGGGAAGGGATGAGGTGCTCACTTTTGGGATTAAGAGGTTGCCTTGTCGGTATCTAAACTCTGACTGTTCTCTGGAGGCACTCAATTCTATACCCTGTGTGTCCTAACCTGTTTTCTCTTTGGTACCCAAAGATGTCTGTGATCCTTTGTCAGGCCCACGCTTCTATAGGCAGCTTGGGGGCAGGGCAGGAAGATGGGAAAAACCTATCATTCCTATTCTGGATACTTTTTTTCTAGGGGATGAATTTGGTTGGGCATTGACCACAATACCCAATGGGATTTTGGAATCTCTTAAGATTTGAGACTTTTATTTGGATCCTTAAAGCTACCTACTTCTACACTATATATAGCATTTCATCTCCAGTATGGGTCTTTGACTTTCTTTATTGTTTTCTTTCCTTCCTTCCTGCCTTTCCACATTCCTCTTTTTCCCTTCCTTCCATGAATATTTATTTGGTGCCTTCTACATGCCAGGTAGCTAATGCCAAAAATACAAAAAAAAGTCTGATCCAGTCCCTGCTTTCAGGGAGCTTATCATCACATGGGGACCAAACAGTTACCCCTTGTAATGAAGACTGTAGGAATGGCCGGATGCAGTGGCCTAAGCCTGTAATTCTAGCAAGATTGGGAGGATTGTGATTCAAGGCCAGCCTGGGTGAAAGGCTCATAAGACCCTTATCCTGAATAATAAAAGCTGGGCATAGTGGTACATATCTGCCATCCCAGCTATGTGGAAAGCATAAATAAGATCATGGTTCAGCCCAGCCTGGGCATAAAGTGAGACCCTATCTAAGAAATAATCAAAGCAAAAAGGGCTGGGGCCCAAGTGGTGGAGTGCCTTCTTATTGCGAGGCCCTGATTTCAAACCCCAGTGCTGCCAAGAAAATGACTGTGGGAATGGAACACATCGAATGCTGGGGAAACACAGAGGAGCAGCAGTAGCAGCCCACACCCCCCTCATTTAGACTGGGGTTGGAGTGGTGCCCTGTAAGATGCACCTTGAAGGATAGAGGAAGGAGAGGTGGAAGTTGGTCTGTTTGAAAAGAAAGGCATGGTGATGGGGAGTGGCAGAGAGGGCATTAACTGGCAGAAAAACTGTAGTGTGCAAAGACATGGAATGTTCCCAATAGTGCAGGCGAGGGCATAGCAGCTGAGAGGGGCTGACGGAACCAGAGATGTGAATGAGGTGAAGTCACTGAAGGCCATGTGTACCTTTTTAGAGAATTTAGATTTTGTTCTGAAGTCTTTGGAATGCTCTTGAAATAGCAGCAGTGGTTAAGTGATTTGATGGTTTAAAATACATTGAGGAACAGTGAGCATGATTTTGTGATTGATTAGATACACAAGAACTTTCATAGAGATGTTGTTTACCAGGAAAGGGAGTGCTGGAAGAGGAAGTAACTGCAGGTCTCTGAGAGGGCTGTTACCTCCTGGAGGGGACCTAGTGGGGAGAAAGAGATCTAGAACTCAGGAATGAGGCCAAGCAGGAAATGTGGATTTAGTGGTAAAAGAATGTTGAGGTTAAGAAGAGAACTAAAGGAACCCTGAGGAATATCATAAGGCATGAAGAAATAAGGCTGGGAACACCAGACCAGAGAAATAGGAAGAATACATAGCCAGATCACAGTGTCCTGAAATCCCAAGGCTGTTCATGCTTCTCCTTTTTCTTTCTTATGTAAGCCTTCTTGTACATAGTAGGTACTTGACCAATGTTTTTAAAATTTAACTTTGTTCTCTGAGATTATCCTGGCTCCTCAACATCTTTTTTTAAAAAGTTAGTCCTTGCTTGCCATTTGATGTGATCATTTGATCATAAGAACTCCCTTCTTTGATCTGTAATTCAAACTTCAGGTTGTTTTGTCTTTTGCTTACCCATCATTAACTCAGTATTTGCTTTAATCATCAGCCTCTGTTAACAGTTGTTTAGTGCAGAGGCAGACTGGGTGACATAGCAACCCCATTTAAAGATGTGTCTAAGCTAGGTGCGGATAGCTTATGCCTATTATCCCAGCTACTTGGTGGGGGGAGGGCTGAGATCAGGAGGATCACAGTTTGAAGCCAGCCTGGGCAAATAGTTCAAGAGACTTCATCTCCAAAATAACCACAGCAAAAATGGAGTAGAGGTATGGCTTAAGTGGTAGAGTGCCTGCTTTGCAACCACGAAGACCTGAGTTCAAACTCCAGTCCCACCAAAAAAAAAAAAGTGTCTATATAGTGGGAAGGTCTCTAACAGTTGAATGCAAATAGGATTCAGGATCATGAGCAGGGTTACTCTGGAGCTTCTCCTCTGCATCTGAAACACATTGTCTTGTGATAGGTTTGGAAATAATGACTTAGGACTTCACAGCTGTGGCTGAGTGAGAAGGCAGGATATCTTTATGTTTGGAGGCATCCTTGGGCTTTTAGAATACTTAAAATCATCCACTAAATCATAGTTCATATTTGACACCCGCTATTACTATTTGAAGTAGTTACACGTGTGTGTACTTGACATTTTTTTTTGTGGTTGTTAAAGGTAACCCACCATTCTGATGTGCAGTGAAATCCAAAGTAAAGTAAATGTAGTTCAGAATATTCAAGACAATGTAGTAGAGCATGGGGAGAGAATGCTAGAACCTCTTTCTATTTTTTCTCATTATATTTACATATTTCACATTTTGTTATGAATACATTCCATCATGTAGGAAAACTGGCAGAACAATGTTACGGACATGCCCTTTTTTTTCCCTTCAAGAATTGTGTGCCTGCCTTCATCTGTAGCCCATCTATTCCCTCTACCATAAGTTATCTTGGAGCTAAATCTACAGATATTTGATATATAAAGGTTTTTAAAGATAAGGGTAAAATAACTATTCAATAGTATTTACATCTGAAAAATATTCAAAATGATTTCTTAATATTAACATCTAGCCAGTGTTCAAATTTCCAATTGTCTTATAAATACCACAAGAGTTTTGTTTTTCACTTTGCTTGAATCAGAACCCATGTTTTGTGACTGATTGATGTATTGTATAAGTCTGTTTAATCTATAAGTCCTCTCCTCATTCCCCCTTTTTTTTTTGCCTTGCAGTTTGTTGAAAAAACTAGGCAGTTTGTTCATAGTTTCCCCACAGTATATATTTTGCTGGAAGTATCCCTGAGGTGTATGTAGTTTAATATGTTTTTCTGTCCCCTGTATTTCCATTAATTAGAAATTGGATTAGAGCTTTGATCTAATTCAAATTTGATTATTTTCAATTTATTTAAAAAAAATCTCACTCTCTGTTCTTTTTTAACCTATGTCTTATAGTGCACATAATTTATTAGTTCAGTAGTGTGTTTATATAATTTGTAAATATATACAAATTAAAATTTGCTATTAAAATTTTTTTTTCTAGTCATGGCACACAATCAAAAAAGTTTTGCCAGCTCCTACAAGATTGAGATTGTAAGTGACTGTTTCTAATGCAGTCCATCGTAATGTTGGAGACTTGGAGTAGATCACCTCCTGTGGAAACTTACTAGTTCATTTTGCAGTTAAATAATGTAGTTTTGTATGAGTATGTGATCCTTCTGCAGAAGCTTTAAGAACTGTGGTTCCATTCCAGGATCTGTGGATGGAGTATTTGAACATGGAGCGCATACATCACGAGTTCCAGGAAACTGTTGGTCTGTGGGTACAGACCAAGCTCGAGTCCCATTCCACACCCTACAGCTTGTCAGTGCAGCTGGACTTCACTGATCCTTTGTTGGGTGAGTCACAAGAGCATTGACCCTTTTGAACGAATGAATAAATGGCTGAATGAAGAGTTGAATTAGAGCCATTCAGGGATGTTTCTCCAGTGAAATTGCAATTTTATTTTTTTATTTTGGTGAGACTGAAGTTTGAACTCTGTCTCACACTTGCTAAGCAGGTGCTCTGCTACTTGAGCCCCTCTGCCAGCCCCTCTAATGAGAATTGCTTTTTAGGAGTTCCATGTTAACTTGTCTGCCACTTAGGGCTAGGTTAGGCTATGAATTAGACTCCAAACCAGTAGTAGCTTATGAACAGGATCAAAGTTTAATTTTCTTTCACATGAAAGAAGTTTGGAGGCAAGTAGTTCAGACCAGTAGGGTAGCTTCATGAGATCTGCAAGCCTTCAGGCACTCCTATTCTCTGTATCTTGTTGCCTCACTATTCTTACAGGTGGCAGCCAGCATCCTCTTCTGGTACAAGATGGCTGCGTAAGTTTATGCTGTTATATTGCGGTCAACTGGAAGGGGAGTTGCACTAAAAGACCTCTTTCAAGAAGCTGCTCACACACTTTCCAGTTATACCTCATGGCCCAAACCAAAACGCCCAACTGTACCTAGAGGGTGGAATGCTGATAGTTCATTTCTTCTACAGTGCTTCCAAAAGACATTTTAGTATGCTTACAAAACTATGTGTAAAGTGCAGTTAATTATTGCATGTAATTATTTTGGGCTTGCAGTTTTAATATTCAAAAATCTGTGGCTTTTTTTTATTTCAAATTGAATATACTTTTGGACTGGCAGAGTGGCTCAGCTGGTAGAGTGCCTGCCTAGCAAGTATGAGGTCTGAGTTCAAACCCCAGCACTGCCAGGAAAACAAAACAAAACAAAACCAGTTTTTTTCTCTGTAGAGCCCTTACCATACAAATGGATATTTTCTAAGTTTCTAACTTGCTTGTTTCTCACAATGCACTTGTCTAGAGAGACAGTGTTGTTAATTATCAGTTAGTTCTCCATGCCAGACCACAAAAACTTCTTCAGTCTATGAAGTTGCTGACGTACTTCCAACAAAAAGTAATAGAAAATGATATTTGGGGCCACCTATTAATACTAATTACTGAATATATTTTAAAAATACAGAACATATAAAATTATAAGTATAATTGTTTCCTAACATATTACCATATGTAGTGTAAGAGAACACTGAATAAAGAGTGTAAGAGAAATGCTCTTATTCCAGCTGGGCCTCAACCAACTTGCTAATTGTGTGGAGAGAGAAAAATAAGACTTTCTTGGGGTTTCAGGTCACTCATCTGCAAAAAAGGTGCTGAGCACTCTCAGCTGAAGCTCCAGATCTTTCCCTTCAACATGTCTCCTTGTTTTGTTTCTCTGAAGTAATTTTTTATTTTTCAGATGATCAAGGTTGTATGTGCTCATTGAAAAAAAAAAGTAATATAGAAAGGTATATAGAGGAAGTTATGAAAATTGTCCTCGGTCTAACCATATAGATTCTCATTTTTTATTCCTGAATGTTTATTTTAAAGTGAGAAAGAGGAACATGTGGCTAGATCTGGAAATTATTAAGGACTTTCTGGTTATGCCATTCATCTGTAGTGCTTTTGTGTTGCCTGAACACTACCCAGAAATGTTAATTGTTTTCCCTAAAGTTAAAGAAACTGATGGATTCATCAAATTTAAGTTAGTAATTTATGAAGCCCTTAGTTTGTTCTGGCCACTGTCACAGTACTTTACATGTATTCACTCAGTCCTCACAACTCCCAGCCCTCATTCAGCAGGGAAGGAACCCAGAGTGCAAGGTAGCAGGGTAACTTGTGTAGGTGGGCTACACAACTAGAATGTGGCAGAGCTGTCTTGCTCCACAGACTCTGCTATTCACCTCTGAGTACCCTACCTCTCTTTTGGCCAGCAGTACTGGTTGTACTTCCAAACAAAATTGAGGCCTAGATTTTTAAATATTCAGTTTCAGGTTTTTCTCAAATAAGAGCAGATTAGATGATGATTATATCAAACAATTGAACTTGTGATTGTGATTGTAAGAAAAATTTGACCAGTGCTCTTGTGACACAATGTTCCTTTTCTTGAATGAAATTGGTTTTGCTGGCTCTAAAATTTTTGTCAGTTGTGGTTGAGAGTAGTCACTACAGTTAAATATGCTCTGAGTTTAATTTTTTTCTCTTTTATTTTGTGTAAAAAATATTATCCTTGATTTTTTTTCGTGGTACCTTACATTGAGAGCCCTCAGGTTTCCCTAAGAGTCATGGCCTATAATGTTGCTTGAACAAACTTTAACATGAATAGTCAAAATTCCCGTCCCATGATAAGTAATTGAACTTTGCCACATCTGTGCAAATAGTGTAGTAGTAGTGGAAAAATGCTAGCTATAAGGGACAATCTGACCTTTTTGGAATGTTAACTTCATCTGTTTGGGGCACAAATAGTATAAGTCTCCTTATGCCAAGTCATGGCTGTTAAATTTTCCTTGATTTTTTATGAGTAGAAGATTGCATGCTGTGTGTGGAATGAAATCAGAAATTCCTAACAGGTTCCTTCAGTGCTTGTTGACTTGACTTACTGACTGACGTTTCCTTGACCTCTCCCTTCCTCAGCTTACAACTTTTTTTTTCTTTTCTTTCTTAAGCAATACTGGGGCTTCCACTCAGGGCCTTGCACTTGCTAGGCAGGCACTCTACCACTTGAGCCATACTCCAACCCTTTATGCTTTAGTTATTTTTTGAATAGGGTTTCTTGTTTTTGCCCTGTATGCCTCCTTGGTAGCTGGTATGACAGGCATATAGTACTATACCCAGATTATTGATTGAGATGGGGTCTCCCTAACTTTTGGCCTCAAACTGCAATTCTCCCAATCTCTGCTTTCCAGGTAGCTGGGATTGCAGGCATGAGCCATCAAACTTGGCTTCTCTTATCTTACTATTGAAAAGAATTGTGCATGCAGCAGGTTTGTCTTCATGGTTTTCAGTTCCCACCTGCTTCTGGTATGTGTATGGTCTGATCATTATTATAAAAGTAACAGACTACGTCTTGTACCCATGTAGTATATTACTACCCATTAGTATCCATTACTGAGTTAATATGACTTAATTTTCTTTCAGCTAAGGAAAGGGTTTTAAGTAACTTGCGGAAGCATGAAGCTCCCCATCCTCCCCTTGTTCTGCACCCCATGCGGCCTCCTGTGCCAGTTATTTCCTCAGCTGTGCTACTGAGTCAGAAGGATGCCATCCAGCTGGTATGCACAGACCTGAATCTATTGCAGCAGCAGGCTAGGTAAGACCATGATACCTTGGGATCGTGTTCCCATGCTTATTGCCCTGACAAACCTGGGTGATTTAGCACCTAGATTCATTTCCTCATCAGCACTCTCACCATGAGGTTAATTTACTAGACTGGCCCAGACAGTTCACTTGGTGAATCAAGTTGTAACAAGTCTTTTAGTTTTGCATAGAAATTATGTGGTACTCTCATGGACTACCAATGTTACATGCTTCCTGTGGGGGTGTTTCTGAGTGTCAGTAGTGCCAGCTAAGACTTTCTTATGCTTCCCCTAGGAAACCTTCTGATATGGGAAAGATAGCATTGGAAGGGGGTAAAATGAAATTTACATCTTGTTTTGTCACTACTTTGCTCCCTTAACTTTATATCCTTTTAAACACTGACATAGGCATTCAGTTGAAGTATAAGAAAGTCATTTAGTATTTTGACTTCACATGGTAGATAACAGAACTGCTTAAGAATTTGATTCTAGGTTGCAATCTTGTGAGTATGTTTGGAGCAAGTCTATTTTATTAACAGTAAGCGAGCTTTAGTTCTACAAATCCAAAGCGAATCTGTTTTTTATTGGCATTTTTTCCTTGGCTGTGTATGATCTGGACATTTGTTGGTTGTGTGTGGTGTGCACACATGAACACCTCTCCATTAACATATTAATGATACAGTTGGAGCAGTATGGACCAACCATGTACCATGTACATGTAGCTTTATTTTTTAAAGTGCTGGGCATTGAACCCAAAGCCTCATGCATGATAAGCACAAGCTCTCCCATTCACGTTTTGCTTGTTTACTGTTAATAAAACAGACTTGCTCCAAATACACTCCTTACAAGACTGTAAGCTAGAGTCAACACCTTAAACAGTTGATTATTCTGTATCTACCACGTGAAGTCAAAACATTAGATGACTTTCTTACATTGGCACTTAGAATTAAGGCTCCCTGTAAGTATGACTAAATTAGGTTAGAATTCTCAATTGTTCTTATATATTTCATGCTCCATTTAAAAAATGTTCATATAACACAGATTCAAAATGCAGCTTTGTTTCTATCTAAAAATTATCTCACTTTTCCTAAGTTTTTATCTTTGTTAACTTTCTGGTAGCCAGTCTGCTAGGAAACAAGATTTGGTTAAATCTTAGCACACATACCTTTGGTGTTTTGTTACTGTGGAATACTTGTATCATAGTGTTAGTTGGGTAACAGGAAGCCTTTTTCACTTTTTCACATAACCTTTCCTAGCTTTCTTTTTCCTCCACTTTTTCAGAACTGCAGCTCTTCGGGAATCTCAGCAGGTTGCCCTGGATGGTGAGTTGTTGGACACGATGCCCAAACAGTATGCTAACCGAGAAGAGCAGACCACCCTGCATTTGGAGTGCAGAGGAAGTGGTGGAAAGAAATGTCAAGGGGCAGCAGTTCTAACAGTCCAGGTAAGATTGTCTGAATCCTTCATAATTCAGAGAATTTTGATTGAGTCCCTTATATTAGCATATCCCCTTGAGAAAGAGTGAAAGAGAAATAGCACATGATCTGTGTCCCAGAACATCTTACAGTTTTAGGGGGAGTGAAAAACACACAGAGCTAATCACACATTTCTGTAAGTGCCACGTGAATGCTACAGGACAGATACTCAAATAGGAATTCAAAGAAAAGCAGAATCATTGAAAAGATTCTTAGAAGAGAGGGTTTTAAACTGATTCTCAAGAGGGTTTGATAAAAAAAAAAAAGAGGGTTTGATGATATGCTACTTTGGATTCAGTGAGAAGAAATTGGGGAATGGAGTCACCATGGTGTCATTAGGGGTTAGTTTCTTTCAGGTGTTCTGGGGAGTATAAATGTAGATTTGTTTGGGAAAGACTGGCATGAATGATCTTTGAGAGTGGACAGCAGGGAGCTCCTGAGCATTGGAAGGACATGGGAAGCAGATCAGTTGGGTGGAGCTTGCCAACAGGCATACAGGAAACATGTAACAATACTAAAAATTCAACTGCCTTAGTCACCATCTTGCTCTGGAAATATAGGCAAAATATAGGTAAAACTTGGATCCATGATATCATAAGGCCTTCAGAATGGAAGCTGAGCCTAAGAGTTAACATGTCATATCACTTATTGTGTACCATGCCCTGTCTGAACACTTTACATAACTTGTTTTGTGGCTATTATCTTCATTTCCCAGATGAGGAAGTAGAAGCACAGAGAGGTTAAGTCACATGTGAGCGTGAACTAGCTAGTGTACTGCAGAGCCAGGAGGGCCCAGGCATCTGGCTCCAGAGCTCTTGCTCTTCATCACTGTACTTCACCCCTCTGTGAGTAAGGTCAGCATTTCCTGAGCTGGGAAAGAAGCATATGGAAATGGACACTGCCTGCTGCCTGACTTACACTGGCATAGAAACAGCCCCTTTTACTAGCTTTTGGAAAGTGAGGACAATTTATTTTGCTCACCATGACTGTCTTTCAGAAGTCCCCCCACCCCTTTTGTTTTCAGATGTGCATTTTCACTGTTTTAGTTTATTCTTCATCAGTTTCTTTGGAATGCCATTTTTGTTAAAGTATCTTTTCTGAAATAACCTTTTATATTTATTATGTTTTTCATTAACTTTGAAATTTATTTCTAATTTTTAACCATAGTTGTATGTACTTAATGTTAAGAAATCTGACCTGGAAGTCAAGATGAGTCCGACTTACTTCCTTGTATTTTATTGTGAACATGTCAGACTCTTAAACATTGCATTATCTTTGAGCAGGTGCTTTCAAAAGTTGGTTTTCTTTTAGTGTATTCCCCCACAGTAACTAATGCTGTGTAAGACCAAGGTAGAGTATTTAAGAATGATCACTTGCCAAAGTAATTAAGCTGGAAGGACAGTTTGTCAACTTAGGGTGGAGTTGGAGTGAGAGGGGAAAAAAACTGAAGATATATCTGGTTGTATAAAAGGGACATGTCTTATTACAAATCTGTGCTTTTTACAAATACACTATTTTTCCGTATTTTGAAACTGCAGATCTTTGCCAGGCTGTTAATTCCATACACTGACTAGCGAGAGAAATAACTAATTCAGACTGAGAGTTTGTTCTGTGAAGCGTTGTAAACATTTGCTGCCCCAGCCAGTGAACAGGTATATTGACTTCACCTGTTAGCTCTCAGGGTCTTGACCACCAGGCAGATCAGGGAGCTTACCAGTAACTAAAAGTAATTTTGACTGGAGGGAGGTCAGAAAGAAGACAGATTGTGACCGGAGGCTTAGATGTCTTCACAGATACACCAAAAAGATTTGTGCTTTCCTTTCTTAAAAGAAGAATTGGTAGTTGCTGGTCTTGGATTGAAAAAGAGGGAAACATAAGAAAGAACAGACAGAAGGAAAAAAGACGTTTTATAAAAGTCTAAAGAACTAGAAAAGGTAGCTATGTTTTGTGGCCATAACCTCATTAGAAATGTTCAAGTTCTCTTAACACAGGTTTTAATTTTCTGCTGGCCTTACTCATCTGCCTAGTGCCTTGACTTTCTGTTCAACTTGAGACGTTCCAGAAGCTGGAGAACCCTTTGGTGGCTCCTAGAAGCTGAGTATCAATAGTCATATCTACTGTAGCAAATACTGGCCTGATAATGCAGTTGTGCCACAGGAATGAAAAAGACAATGAACAACTTTTGTTTGAGACTTAAAAAATAATTCTCTTGAAAGTAATGGCTAATTGAGGCTACCTTAGTACTTACTGGTTGATATTTCTAGGAATTGAAGATAGAATTATTACTTTTTATCTACTCATTAACAGGTAAGAGCAAGGTAGAAGAAAATTGAAACTGTCAATGCCATGAAGTCTGAGCAAGTCAATTAGTTTCACTTTAATTTTTTGGCTAAAGATTATACTTGAACCTGAGGCCATCTATGACCTAAATGGGTGACTTTGGTTATGGATGACTTAGTTTTGGGAAGAGGGATGTTAGTAGAGGATATGGAGAGGAAGCTCTGAGTATTTGTGACTCATCATAAAAGTCACTAGAGAGGGTGTTCTTTCTACAAAATATAGGCTGTGTTATTTATATATATAAGATCATAGCCCTTCATTGTACATGTGTTCAGTATCCACCTCATGGCTATACTCAGTAGTTTCAATTCTATTTAATATCTTCCTGTCATCTAGTGATACTGAACTTTGCGAGTTCTGTTTTAGTCCCCCTAACTCTCTGACTCTTCTCATCTTCAAGGGTTTCTCTTCTTTGATTAAACTCTTAGATTTCTGGTTATGCTTGGTTCTACTGCCGATTCCTTTTTTCATTTGACGTCTGCTTTCACTTAACTGTTTGTGCTGGAGTTCTTAATATGGAGTCTGTGAGTACTTTTCAGAGAATTAGTGAAGCTCCTGAAGGTGTCTGTAAAACTTTTGTCTGGAGAGCTCCTAGCTTCAGTAGATTCTCAGAGGGGTCCAGAATTCTCTTGAGTTCCAGATCTAGATTTCCATCTGCCTACTTAATATTCTACTTGAATGTCCTGTAGATACCTCAAACTCCACAGGTCCCACACTAATCTTACCTTTACCCTTCAACTTGTTCTTCCTGTAATTCCATCTACCTGATCTCCCAGAGGGAGACCTAGAATTATTATCATCTCTTTCATATACTCCTCCACCCCATTAGTCATACCTAGTTGCTTCCCAAAATATATTGGTTCAGCCTCTGAAATGGCTTTAAATTGATTCTCTTCTCTTCGTGTCCTCCTCTCACCTGCTGTCCTGACCTCCTACTCAGCCTTCACTGTTGGTGTGTAGGTTGCAGTTCTAGAGAGCTTACTGGCTTCTGCAGTCAGATTGATCTGTTCTCTCCTCTAGTGGTAGTGTGTGTCAGTACATTGCTTTTTTGTTGCCAGACTGAACCCTTTGGGAATAGGGTTTCCATCCTTATCATATGTATACTATACTATGTAGCCTGTTCCTGGCACGTAGTAGGTGATCTGGAACACCGTGTCTTTATGAGCCGTGAAAGCACTGGCATATCGCTTGTCGGTTTGTGCTGCAGCCTGTGGGTTATGGTTAGTTCTATGGCTGTTGCTGTGTTTTGAGTTACATGAAGTTTGGGCTGTGTTATTCATGTTTATGTTGTCACTGCCTCACATAGTCGGTGTCGCTGAATGGACATGTGTGAAGGAATGGACAGCTACAGATTTTTAGCCTTCACACATAAATTCTTTTATTTAAACTTTCAGAAATTTTGTAGATATTATTTAGCTGCTAAAGGCATTGTGGAAATTGGAACTTTTTGCTGCTAGAAATTAGCAATCATTCTTTTTTTGTGCTTACTCTTCGGCCCATTTAAAATGCTTAATGCTTTCCGTACAAATTTCAACTTAAATACCACCCACTGCTCACCTGACCTTTTTTCTCTAATATCAGTATCTTCTGGGTGCTCGATCTTGTAAAGAAGTAAGGATGCTTTACTGCCTTCCCAACTGCTCAGAGTCTTTCCACTCTGATGTTCCAAGTAGTATGTTAGGTGCTTTGCTTACACTCTCTCAATTAATTTTTATGAAATTGGGATGACTTCAGAAAACCTGACTTCAGATACATTGAGAGACTTGTCAGTCACACAACTGATAAATGACTCAGAATTCAAACCAGCATTCATCAAAATTCATGACCTGTGTTTTTCTCATTCAATATTGTCAGGCCATTCATTTTATGTAGCTGCTTCAGTTCTACCTTCTGAAGACTAAGAAGTGTGATTTGAGTTAGCTGGACACGACAGCCAAATCTTATTTATTTATTTATACTCCTTGTCAAGTCTCATTTAAATGAACATTTTCTTTGAGTTTTTGTGATTAGAGAGACTGTGGTCTTAGCTGCACATTGTAGATTGGATCAGTTTTTAAAAATTGGCTTCATGGGAAGTGATTTTATATTTGAAATATAATTTTAAAGGGTCATTTGTAAAGATATCACATCGTAATATTCTGTTGCTCAATAGGATTTTTCTGGGTAGGAAAGTCCTGGAAATTTCCAACTATCTGCAAGTCTTTGAACTATGTATAGCTTGTTTGGGGTATACAAAGGCCGAATATATTTTATGAGAAGTGAGACATGCTTCTTCTGTGGTCTCCCCTCCTCTAACAGAAGCCTTTAATTATTCAGTGATATTCCCTGGGGAAATGGGGTGATTTATAATTGAGTTCCTTTTGTGCTTTGGTATTGTAGGGCATACTTGCTAGACTTGGATTGATTTATTATGTGACAAATTTCCTAGAAAGGAAAGATGGAAAAGACCCACTGAGGGCCTCCCATTATTATAAAAAATTGCTGAAGGAAGCTCTTTGTACAACTCTTTAGTTTGTACTCAACATGACTCAAATGTTGGGGCTTCTACCATGCTGCTTTGTTCTATTGTCTCCAACTTCTTGTCATTATGAGCTGGGAGTCATTCAGTCTTTCTCACATCTGTTCTAGTAAGAAAACTGTAAACAGTGGTGGGAAAGTAAAGACTTAACACTGGTGAGTTATACAGAAAAGAGTTGTCATCATCATGATCATAAAAATAGGTGTGCTCAGTGTACTCTCAGTTGTGCTGTGCTGGGATTCTGTGTAAGCAAAGCAAGCAGGACCATTACCTTTCAGGAACCTTTGATAGAGAAGTTATGGTAACAACTCTGATAGGGACATAAGGACCACTTCTGAGTAAGTTGGAGGGTTGAGTATGTACATTGTTTATAAGGATCCCTATAGTTATTGCTGAAGACTATGCCTAGAAGGGGCCATATAAAGAGAGAATGAAGATCCCACTGCACTCATGTGATTGGAAGACCATCAGAAGAGAATGTAGGATTTGAAGCTTCTGCCTTCTAAATGTTCTGGTCTTCTCAGCATTCTCTGCCAGGCATGCAAGATAAGTCCCCTCTAGCTTGCTGTCCAGAGCCTCTGTGGGACAGCTCCTCTTGCTCCTCAGTCTGACCATATAGCACTCTTTAGTCCCAAGTCCTGGCATCAGCTAGAGAGCTCTTTCTCTCCTCTGTCCCCCACAACTATCAGATTGGTTCTTTTTTTCCTTTTTAAATTTTTTTTTCTCATTTTTCTTAGTTCAGGTTTAATAGAAAAATATAAAACAGATTTTGTTGTCATGGTTGCTTACTGCAACCTAGCTCTGAAACAGACCCAGTACTCAAAATTCTTTGCTCTTTGGACATCAGGCCTGATGGTATCATTGCCCAGCTGCCGGCCAGCTGGCTGTACTTTTCCATGTTTGTCAGTGAACAGGAAGGCTGGAACTAGTCTTAAGAGTCTATGCACAGAGCGCTGACACAAGGGCCATTGACCATGATCTGCCAAAGGATACCAAAGGATAGGCCCCTGGACAAGATACCTTCATCAGCCTTTCAGGCCCCATAATCCTGAGGAAGCTGTGCCTAGGGTCTGGTACTAGGGAGTGTTTGTGGGTCTTGGCTTCCTTGTTGCTTAGTGTGTTGATCCATGCTGGATGACAAAAGTGAGAATCCAAATCCACAGACGTGCTGGCCACTTGGCAATTGAGTTAGTTCCTTTCTTCTCCCCTCCCCTCCTCTCTCCTGCTCTGTCAACTGAAAGCAGTGACCTCACTGCTTTGTGGGGTACACAAAGGTGAAGTCAAGAGGGTAAAAAAAAAGAACAGAACAAATTTCCCTTTGTACTCAGGGTGATATCTCTGAACTGACCATCTGGCATAACAGCTGTGGCTTTGAAGTTGGTGGCAGAGTAACCAATTTTGGTATTTCCTGAAGACATCTTGGTGTTAGCACTTCTAGCACAGCAGTCTTCAAATCAGAAGCCACTGAGACCAGCCAGAAGGAGAGCTGCCACTTCTGTCTCTCTGTGGCAACCTGAACCCAGGATGTCCTCCACTTTCCTCTGCATCTATTTGCATCTAAAACGGGACATTAAAAATGCACAAACAAAACCATTTATTATGAAAGCTACAGTCATTTAGAAAAAGGATACATTAACAACTACCTCGAGTAAGAAAGATATAATGTAAAAAAGTAACTAAATTGAAATAAGTGTAGGTTTTACAAAACTCAAATTCTTATTCAAAATAAATTCTTACTCAAAATATTTTTTACATCTTATTTTTCACATCTTTCCTGAGAGCCAATAAAAATTTTATCACAGACAAGTTTTAAGGAACTACTGAATTGGCTAGCTGTTCTTTCTTTGGCATGCAGTTGATTTGGGCACTTTTCCATGTTTTATCTTATTTTATTGCTTATAATTATGTGTCTTTACTTTCAAAGTGGCAGTTATTTTGCATTAGCAATGTCATCCTCTTCATGATGGGCACACATGCAGCGCTACATTTGCAGTTGTATTGTGTGTATGTGCTGTATGGAGGGAACACAGAGGGTCAAATGGGCAGGAGGATGATAACAAAAAGGGGTCTTGACGTGCTTCAAGAAAAGCCTCAGTGGTGGACAACAATGGGTCTTTTTTTGGGGGCAGTCCTGGGGTTTGAACTCAGGGCCTCACAATTGCTAGACTGGCGCTCCACCATTTGAGCCACTCCACCAGCCCCATCTTTGTGTTGGGTGTTTTCAAGATAGGGTCTTGCAAATTATTTGTCTGGTCTGTCTTCGAATTGTGATACTTCTGATCTCTGCCTCCTGAGTAGCTAGGACTACAGACATGAGCCACTGGCACCCAGCTAATGGGCCTGTTTTTGATGAGGATTTGAGTAGTTGGAACATAAGTAAAATAGAATATATCCCATAAAAGACTTTGAACCACTGATAAAATTTAATCCAAGATCATATCAATTAGCTGGGTGCTGGTGGCTTGTACCTATAACCTAGCTGAGATTTGGAGGATTGAGGTTTGAGGCCAGCCAGTTTAGAAAGTTTGTGAGACTCCATCTCTGAAAATAACCAGAGCAAAATGGAGTAGAAGTTTGGCTTAAGTAGTAGAGTGCTGGAATTGCAAGCAGTACAAAGCCATAAGTTCAAACCCCAGTCCCACAAAAAAATAAAAAAGATCCTATCACTTTATAAGATAATCATATATAGCTATACATTTTTGTATTTTTATAAGAAATAGTTCTATTTGATTCAACATGGAAAACCTGAGATTATTGAATAAATTTTTTTTTTTTTGGAGGAGGTTACTGTTGCTTGAACTCTGGGCCGCATGCTTGCTAGGCAGGTGCTCTACCACTTGAGTCATTTCCCATCCTTTTTTGATTTAATTATCTTTCAGATAGGGTCTTGTGTTTTTTGCCTAGGGCTGGCCTTGGATGGTGTCCTCCTACCTAGCTGGGATTACAGATGCACACAACCAAGGCTGGTTTCTTGGGGTCTTGCTAACTTTTTGCCTAGACTAAGGTCAAACCACCATTCTCCTGATTCTTGCTTCCTAAGTAGCTGGGATTACAGCTGTGAGCTACCATGCCTGGTTTCAACCAAGAGTTTTGAGTTAAATTATAATACTAACCCAAATAATATTCTCTTCATCATATGCCAATGTATTTGTAATAAAATACTTGTTTTAGAAGCATGTAGGGGAAAAGAAGTCTGTTGACCATTTTAATTTTTGTTAGTTTGAAGGCATGCATAAGAACGAAGCAGTAAGCCAGCAGCTTCATGTTTTGCGAAAAGAAGTGAAGCAGTTGCAAGCAGAAGCTACTAAACCACCATCCCTGAATATTGTAGAGGCTGCTGTGCATGCAGAAAACTTGATTACGTAAGTTTTGATGACATAATTTAAAATACTGTGTTATTATTATTGGTAAGAATCATACATGCTACTATACCTTCCTTCTCTACCTCAGATACCCAAAAATTTAGTGTAGAAATTAGCAAACTATGCCTTTGGGACCAGCCTGTCCTGATACCTGTTTTATAAATAAAGTTTTATTGGAAGCCAGCCATCTCCACTATTTATAGTATCTGTGGCTTATAAGCTGTAACATCAGAGTTGTCTATTTGTGATGGATTCTTTATGGCCACAAAGCATAAAATACTGTTCCCTGGTCCTTTGTGGAAGAAGATTGCAGACTCCTGGATCATGAGATGATGCAGTGCGTTAAAATTCAACAATGGAGGGATTTAGTGCTCAAGCTTTATACCAAAGTCATTTTTATCCAGAAGGACACCATTGCCAACCCAGACTGAACAAGGTTCACTGCGCAATTGCTTAAGGGAATTCGGACTCTTAAGATTAGGTATTAACTTGCATGTGGCCATCACATTTTTTCTTGGAGCTCCTGGCTTGCTTTCACTGTCTTCTTTTCTTCCCAAATCTACCAAAACTGAAGTTGGGAGGTGGGGTTGACTCTCTGCTTTTCACTTGAAGAGACTCTATATTTTGATATCAGCAGCTCATGCCTTTCACAGATTGGGATGGTGTGGGAGGGAGCAAAGTGTCCTTTTGAGGCTGAGGGGCCTAGGAAAGAGTACCAGATTAGGTGAACCAGAGATGGGTATATCTATCACTAGAAGGCATTCTGAAAATTGTGGGAATTAGAAGGGACATCTTTATTCTTGGGATTTATTATATACAAAAATCTTCTTATCAACCTCAGTCAGTGTTTTGGATTTTAAAATGGCTGAAATAACCGGGCTTGGTGGTGCATGCGTGTAATATTAACACCAGGAGACCGAGGCAGGAGGATTCAGAGTTTGAGGCCAGCCTGGGTTATGTGGTGAGATTCTGTTGCAAAAAAATAAGAAGAAAAAGAATAAAATGTAGGGAAATTGGGGTTATTGTGTTTAAAAATGTGTATTATATAAAAAGCTTGGTGGGATGGTATATGTCTGTCATCCTAGCTACATGGGAAGTGCAAATAGAATCGTGGTCTAGGCTGGCCCGGGCATAAATGTGAGACCTGTTAGAAAAATATCATTGGCAAAAAGTGCTAGTGGTATGGCTCAAGTGGTAGAGTGCCTGTCTGGCAAACATGGCCCTGAGTTCAAACCTCAGTACTGCAAAAAAGCAACAACAACAACAACAAAAAGTATTAAATAGCTCTGGCTTACGTACAAAATAGGAAAAACCTTAATAAGTGTATGAATGTTAATTAGTCCTTACAATAGCAACTGATTTTTCATTTCGATAGGGAAGCATAAAATCACTACTATGTATTGAAAGTGAGTTGCTGGAATCGTTCTAAAGTGACACTTGCATGGGGCTCTGAAGACTGCTAATAAATATTGCCCAAGGAGCGGAGGTGATCAAAGAGACACCTGTGAATATGGGTTCTTTTTCAATAGACCAATACTTTTATCCACATTCCCCCACAGGGCCTTAGTTAATGCCTACAAGTTGCAGCCTACACCTGGAGTTCAGAAAGTAGGCATTAGCCTATTCTTTACTGTTGTGGATTATGTCAGTGATGAGACACAGCGCCATCCTCCCACAAGACAGTTCTTTACTTCATGCATTGAGATCTTGGGACAGGTAAGGTTGTTCTCTATTATTAACCTTGTCCAGGAACAGCGACTTGTGCATTGTCTTTATTAGATATAGTCAGCGTTGACTTCAGACTTATATTGCAGATTCAGAGTCTTAGTTAAATTAGAAGTTCATTGAAATTGTTGGTTTCCCAGGGTGTGACTGGAATTATTGGTATTGCTGGACATGGTGGCTCCTGCCTGTAATCCCAGCTGTTCTGGAGGGTTACAGTTCCACGTCAGTCCAGGCAAAAAGTTAGCAAGAACCCATTTCAACAATCAAATTGGGCAGTGGTGGTGCACACCTGTAAACCAGTTATGTGAGGGGTTTAGGTAGGAGGATTGCAGTCCAGGCCTTCCAGAGCAAAAACCATGAGACCTTACCTGAGAATAACTAATGTGAGAAGGACTGGGGGAGTGATTCAAGTGGTAGACACAAGATTATGAACTCAAATCCCCCCCAAAAAAAGAATCGCTTGTATAGAATGATGCCTCTCATTCAAGAGAAATTATTTATATTTGAAAGCCTGAGGAAACACCAGTCTAGCATGTGTCATTGGTATTGTTGACATTACTGAAGGTTCTGATCATTCGTCAGCTGTTTTCTAGTTCATCATTTCTTACTCACAGTGACTCTGTGTGATTAGTACTATTCCTGTTTTAAAAATGAGACAACTAGGCTCTAAAAGAGGAAGCAACTGGCCTAAAGAATGCAGCTGTGCAGCTAGTGCACTGGGGTGGAGATGGAATCAGGCTTCTGACATCTCCCGGTGCTGCCTCTGCACCTCACCACAGCAGCCTCACTGTGGCTATCCTCAGCCACCATTTCTTTATCTATTTGGCTTACAGTTAGATGCATAGACAGTTACCAGAGGCAAGGACAGTGTATCCATGCCATGTCCATTTGTGCACTGTGTCATAAAAGAAAGGAAGGCCATTGTTTGAAAAATATGTGAATGCTAACCATGTACTCTAACCCACATTTAATTGAATGAGTACTTACAAGGAAGTCATGCTGAACAGTACTGCAATTGTTTGTTTCTTTTTTATTTTGTGATAGCGAGGATGGAAGCCAGGGCCTTGCACATGCTAGGAAGGTGCTGTACTACTAACCTACATTCCCCACCCCGCAATCCATATTTTTTTCTTTTTTTTGAGCAGTACTGGGGTTTGAACTCAGGGCCTCACACTTGCTAGGCAGGCACTCTACCACTTGAACCACAACGCTAGCCCCATTTTTTTTTCCTGACCATAAAGCTAGTGTGTGCTTATTGTAGCAATACAGACAGTCAGAAAGTAAAAAGGAAAAGTTTCTCAAAATCCTAACCACCTGGAGATACTACTTGTATAGCTAACATTTCATTATAGTTTGTCGTGTGTGTATGTATGTAAACCTGATTTATCATTCCTGTCTGTACATGGATATATAGAGACATACACTTAAAAATGGGCACATGCTATTTTGTAATCTCTTTTCATGTAAACATATCTTTTAGACATTATTCCATGTTAACAAATACAGACCTGTATTATCACATCAAATTTGAATGTCCGCAGAGTGTTCCATGATAAATTATTAAGCCAGTGCTCTTTGGATGGATATTTAGGCAGTTTGTTTTGCTGCAATAAGGCCAACATAAATATTCTTACTATATCTTTGTGAACTTCTTGGACTATTTTCTTTAGGATAATTTCCTAGAAATGTGGGAATTGAGATAATGATATATTTGTATTGTATAGCATTTGATATATTTGCCACACTGGTGTCCTGGGAAGTTTGCACCTATTTACACTGTCAGTACAGTATTAGAGTTTATTGTTCTCTATAGTATTACTAAAATTAGGAGTTAGTCTTTTTTCAAGTTTTGTTAATCTGATAGGGAAGTTGATGTCACCATTTTCAAAATTTGTATTTCTTTAAGTTCTGTCAAGTTGTATGTGTTTTCATAATGCTTATTGGCCATTTGTGTGTGTGTGTGTGTGTGTGTGTGTGTGTGTGTGAATTGCTGGTTGTCCTTTGCACATTTTCTGTTAGAATTTCTTGCTTTTTGATTGCTTTGAAAGAATTCCACAGAGTATTACTAATATTACTAACCTGATATCTGGAATGTGTTTGAGAATATTTTTCTCTCATTGTATGATTCTTTTTGCCTTTAGAAGTCAAGTTTTTAGTATAGTCAAACCTATGAGCCTTGTCTTTTATTTTTCCTACCTGTGATCAACCCTGACATGGTCTTTCTTACCCTGAAATTACTTAAATATTCACTTACAGTCTAGTACTTTGTAACATTAAAATCAAGTTAAAGCATGGCAAAGTTATCCTGATAATAAATTGTGAAAGTTAGCTTTTTAAAGGTAGTAAAGACACATTTCAGTAACTTCTGTAACCTAGAAGTTTTACCTTCTTGATGTAATAAGGGACTACCTTGAATACTTAGTGATTATGGTGGTCACATTGCAAATTTCTAGATTCAAATCTCCCCAATATCATCTTCATTGGAAGTGATAGGCTTATCTGTGGTGATTTTAGATATCTTTTGATAATTTCATATAGAAAAATTCTTATCACCTTATTTAGTACCCCTAAAGTTTGATTGCTGAGATAAAAGTGGGAGAGGAAGAATTTGGTGACATTTTCCCATTTTTCTTCATCAAGGTGTTTATCAGTGGCACTAAATCCGAATGCAAAAAGGTACTTCAGACCATTCTGAAGAATAGAAGGCTCTGCTCTCTCTTGTCGCCCTTCTTCACTCCCAGTGCTGCACCGGCAGAGTTCATACAGCTGTATGAGAAAGTGGTGAAGTTTCTGAGTGAGGACAACAGTGATATGATTTTCATGCTGCTAACCAAGGTAAAAAGTGGTTCAATCCTGATGACTGGAGATGCAGAATGACTGTTGCCTCCCCTGCCATAGAAATAGAGGGATCCATGGAGGTTGGGTTCCAGGGGACCATAGACTGAGAGGTCTTTTCTACATTTTGCATGATCTTCAGGTGTCCTAACTCCACAGCTTCCTCTTTTTTGGTAGTGGGGAGCTAGATGTGTGCATAGGGCAGCGGACAATCTTATTCCACGTGGTACAAAAAAAAAAAAAAAAAAAAAACACTTTCCCAAGCCCTCTTTAAAAACTTGGTACAGTTTTGAAAATATTAATAATAGTATTTCAATAATCCTTCTTTTAAATTAATCCTGAATTTGTCCCTAAATTATGTTTGATAAATGAGGTGCTCTATGTCAGAATCTCTCATATTTAGTATAAGCCAGATCTAAGCAAGTTCCCTTTGTTCTCATTTTGAATACAATATTTACTCTGTGACACCAAGGCAGTGAATTTATTTAACCAGTTGAGAATTTCAGAGCCTTCCCTACTTTGCTTTCAATTGTATTTCTCTGACATTTATGAAGCAATAAAACCTTGGCATTTTTTAGGGCCTAGAGACTTGGTCTCAATCTGTAATAGAGGAGAACATGTTTTATAGTGTGGGATTCTGGAAGGTAATACCAACAATCTGAAATTTTATTAACTGAGGCAGCTCAGCAACCTGGCCTTTAAATCCAGATAGTACATAAAGCAGCTGCTTAGTTCTGGGGACCCAGTGAAGGAGAACTACAAAGTTCTGTCTGTGTCTTGGAGGTTGAAATGTATGGGTCTTTCAGGAACAAAATAAAATTAGAAACTAATAATGAATGGTCAGTAAAATTTTTGTATTACAAAGAAATTGCACCAAGCTAAGGAAACTGCTTCTGAGATCCCAGAGAGTCTGAGTAGAGATGGTGGTATAAAGACACCAGTTAGTGAACTTATTCTTTCTGTTTCATTTATTTATTTATATTTTGGAGGTACTGGAGTTTGAAATCAGGACCTCATGCTTGCTAGATAGCCATTCTACCACTTGAACCAATAACCCTTTTTGTTTTGGTTATTTTTGAGTTAGGGTCTTACGGTTTTGCCTGAGCTGGCCTGGATCATCAGTCTCCTACTTATACTTGCCACATAGCTGGGATGACAGGTACACAGCACTCTGCCCAGTTTTTTTGGTTGAGTCTTGCTAACTTTTTTGTGAAGACTGGCCTCAAAATGCTATCTTCCCAAACTCTGCCTCCTGAATACCTGGGATTACAAGTATGAGCCATTACTCCCAGTCTCTTTTGGTAACTTTTTTTTGGCTGGACTAGTCTCAAACTGTGATCATTCTGATCTCCACCTTCTGAGTAGCCAGGATTATTGGCATGTGTCACCACAGCAGGCCTTCAGTTAGTGAATTTCTTATATTCAAGTACTTGTATGTACATTTGATTAATTAATTAATTTTTGGGTGGTATTGGGGTTTGAAATTAGGACCTCTTTTGTGGTGTAGGCACTCTGCCTCTTGAGCCTTGCCCCAGTCCTGTATGTACATTTAAGTTTGCATTTTTATAGAAAGGTAATTGTGAGGTAGTCTTTGACTAAATTTGCACAGACTTCTCTCCAGTTCACTTAATTTTCTAGTGTAAATAAAACTGTTTCTTGTTTCTGTTTCTTTTTAGTTCGATCTTAAGCAATGGTTAAACACCACTAAACCTCCTCTGTCTGACCGTACCAGGCTTCTGGAGTCCATTCACTTGGCACTTACTGCCTGGGGCCTTGAACCTGATGAAGATATTTTGATGCCTTTTAATCTTTTCTGTAAGCACTGGACTTACCTTCTTCTCTACCAGTTCCCTGACCAGTACAGTGATGTTCTCAGGCTGCTGATGCAAAGTAAGTGTCTTCATTGAATTGTGACTAACTAGATCTTAGTGAACATGTAGTACCATATGTATCGCTCTACAGATGTCATCCAAAAATATAAAACTGACCTCAACTCCTGAGTATAGGAGGTGAAAATCTCTGATCACCACCCAAAAAGTTGACCCTGTATGAATAAGTAATTTTCTTGGATATTAGAATTGATCCTGATTGGGCAAGGCAACACTTCATGTTTAGTGTCGGGAGTCCATAGTCATGTACCCAACCTCTTTACCTTGACTGCAGCTGTCCTGAAGTGCAGTGAGGTGGGAGAGGTGCTTCTTACTCTGCAGACAGCAAATCTAATGAAGGATGATATGCTTAGTATGTCTGTTGGTTTCTCATTAATTTCAAATAGTGGATACATTTTGGATCTTACCTGTCACCTATTTTTGAGTTTGTTGTTTGCACATGCATTTTGTCCTTGTGTGATAGACGGTATTTACACTTCCCAAGGGAAACAGCATCATTAAATTTTTCACATTTCCACCATTTCTGTCCCTTGCTTTCTGAGTTTTCCATAGGAGTGTTAGGGGTTAGAGCAAGAATAAAGGGCTTAGGCTTTTTATTTTTGGAATTTCCCCAGGCAGTAATTTTATTGAACTTTGATCAGTGAGATAGTATTTACTATTTTTCACACAAATTTTATATCTTTGTATATGTAATGGAAAACTTCATTTTATACCAAGTCTGTGTTTATCAATAGAAATCACTTAATGGATAAGTTAATGATGTACCATATTGGGTCACCTGAAGTATCCTGAAATGTATAGCCTCTCATTTTCTTTTATTTTTTAAAAAAGAATTATATATAAAACTGGGCTTCATTATAACATTTTCACACTTGTGTACAATATATTTCAATCTCACTCATCCCCATCAGCTGCTCTGTCCCCCTCCCTCCTCCTGCTACCCTTCCAGCCATTGTATTATGTTCATGTCTTTTTGTTTGTATTTTTGGACCTAGATTCTGCATATGAGAGAAAACATGCGATACTTAGCTTTCTGAGTCTGGCTTATTTCGCTTAACATAATGCTCTGTAGTTCTATCCACTTTTCAGCAGATGACGTAATTTCATTCTTCTTTATGGCTGAATAATACTCTGTTGTGTATAATACCATATTTTCTTTATCCACTCATCAGTCACTGGGTACCTACTCTGATTCTGTTACTTGGCTATTGTGAAGAGTGCTGTCACACACATGGGTGTGCAGGCATTGCTGTTGTTTGCTGACTTTGATTCCTTTAGGTATATACTCAGGAGTGGTATAGTGGGATCATATGGTAGCTCTGTTTTTAATTCTTTGAGGAACCGCCATACTGATTTCCATAGTGGTGGCTGCACTAATTTAAACTCCCACCAACAGTGTGTAAGAGTTTCTTCCCGCATCTTTGCCAGCATTTATTGTTGTTTGTTTCCCTGATGACAGCCATTTTGACTGGGGTGAGAAGGAACCTCAGTGTAGTTTTGACTGGCATTTCCTTTATTGCTAAGGGTGCTGAGCATTTTTTCATGTATTTATAGGCCATTTGTACTTCTTTTGTGAGTTGTCCGTTCTATTCACTTGCCCATTTATTGATTGGATTATTTGCCTTGTGTTTAGCTTTTTGAATTCTTTGTACATTGTGAATATTTTTTTGCAGTACTAGGGCTTGAACTCAGGGCCTCATACTTGCTAGGCAGGCATGCTACCAGTTGAGCCACTCCACAAGTCCTCTGGATTTTAATTTCTTATCAGATGAATAGCTGGCAAAAATCTCTCCCAATCTGTACAGCCTCTCATTTTCAAAGCACTTTAAGCTTTCATTGTTCGTTACAGAGGCAAACTACAGAGAAGATGGAGAATTATGATAGGCAAATACATCCATGCCATGTGGTGGGGCATGGTGCTGCACACCTGTAATCCCAGCATTTGGAAGGCTGAGGCAGGAGCATCTGGAGTTCAAGACCAACCTGGTCTGCATAAGGACTTCAGGCAAACAGGACTACAGAGCAAGAGTGTTTTGGAGAGCAAAACAAAACCATGTAGTTTAATGAATATATGGATAGCTAATTTTCAAAATTTTATCAAGTTTGTATTGTGGGTTCTTTCCTGAGACCCTTTAAAGAAAAATAAAATACTTTGATAGGCCTCTATGGACTTGGATTCAGCATAAAATTTCTTCTTACTAGGAAAACTAACTGAGTTAAAGCTTTGAGAATAACAGTATCACTCTCAGAATTCATGACCTACAGCTTCCTGGTTTTCCTTCCCTCCCCACTACCATGTTGGTGTTTCCAGGGCCCCATCTTTCTCCTCTGCTGTATCCATGTTGCTGGAGTGGGCTCATTGCTCTCTTCTAGGGCTGCATGACTCCCACACTCAAAGCTTCATTCAAGGCCTTTGCCTCAGGACTCAGACCATGGTAGCCACTGGACACCTTCTTTTCTTTTTTTTCATTTTTCTTTTATTATTCATATGTGCATACAAGGCTTGGTTCATTTCTCCCCCCTGCCCCCACCCCCTCCCTTACCACC